TAGGTACGACTATCTTAAAATCTGCATTTAGAATGTTAAGTTAAGCAAGAATTAACTGTCGATTAACTGCATTAAGAATGTCAATTTAAGCTAGGCACGAATTTCTTAAAAAACTGCATTAAGATTGTTAAATTAAGTAAGATTCAACTGTATTAAAAACTGCACTAAAAATGTAAACTTAATCTAAATCTTGCTTAACATTCTAAATTCAGTTTTTAACTGTCTTAAAAACTACATTAAGAATGTCAACTTAAGTTAGGTATGATTTTCTTAAAAAACTACTGAATGAAAAATGTCAACTTAAGCAAGATTTTACTACATTAAGAATGTCAACTTAAGCAATATATAACTGTCTTAAAAACTGCATTAAGAATGTCAACTTAAGCTAGGTATTACTATCTTAAAAACTGCATTTAGAATGTTAAGTTAAGCAATATTTAACTGTCTTAAAAACTGCATTAAAAATGTCAACTTAAGTTAGGTATGACTGTCTTAAAAACTGCATTAAGAATGTCAATTTAAGCTAGGCACAACTTTCTTAAAAAACTGCATTAAGAATGTTAAATTAAGTAAGATATAACTGCCTTAAAAACTGCATTAAGAATGTCAACTTAATCTAGGTATGACTGTCTTAAAAACTGAATTAAGAATCATCATAAAAAATATTTAATTTTTTATAAAAAACTTCTAATGCATATTTTTCTTTATTTTTGGAAATTTTTTTGTAATATTTTTCCGTTACACCTTATGTGTTTTTATTTTAAAATATTTTAAATTTATAAATGTAAACCTAAAATTTTTAATTGGGAAAATTTTAAACCATTAAAATTTTAAATTAAAAAATTATTTCATAAAAGTTAAAAGACTTACATGATTGAGATGCTGCAAAATGTTGATTTCCGAATATATTTTGCTGGGGTGATTTAACTCGTGCAACCTGGAGGTGTTAAATTTCCCTTTTGTAATTTTTTTCACCGCAAATTTTTTGGTTGTTGTCTACAAACGAAACAAAAAATAATTCACCATAAAAAACACTATAAAAAATACCTTCTCATATACGAGTCTAACTTCCCCTACAGCCCCTCTACCCAAAAACTCCCCGACTTCATACTTCTTTTGTAGTTCTAAAGGCAGGTATTTTTCCTCGAAATTATCCATTTGTTTGTACGTGTAAACTGTAAAAAAATATACAAAAACACTATTTTTTCAAAACATACACAAAACTTACTCAGCATATCCTTAATACCCACGGAAATGATATCGTTATTTTGGAGGACGTACTTATTGTTCCTTCCGACTTTTTGACGGTTAATAAAGGTGCCATTTTTGCTCAGATCAGTGATAAAAACAGGACCGCCTGCCTGTTTGCTAATCACGAAATGCTCCTTGCTGATATGGAAGACAATGTGGTCGGGAAATCGATTTTTTACTATGACTATGTCACAGTATTCCGCACGACCCAAGCTTACAGCATCCGATACTAAATCTAAAAGGTAAAAGCTCTGTATATGAACAATCTAACATCGCAAATAACGATTGTCAAGCTAACTACCTTAAGAATGTCAAATTAAGCTAGCTATAACTGTCTTAAGAATTTTCTTTAAGAATGTCAACTTAACCTTGACATGACTGTCTTAAGAATGCCAACTTAAATTAGATATAACTGTTTTAAGAATGTCAACTTGAGCTAGATATAACTGTAATAAAAACTGCCCTAAGAATTTCAAGTCAGGCAAAATTGAACTGTTAAGAATGTCAAATTAAGCTTGGAACAACTGCCTTAAGAATGTCAACCTAAACTAGATTTATCCGTTTTAAGAATTTCATCTTAACTTAGATATAACTACCTAAATAATGTCAATTTAAGGTAGATTTAAAAACTGCCTCAAGAATGCCAACTTAAGCTAGATATACTGTCTTAAAAACCGCTTGAAGGATGTCCAGTAAAGCAAAATTTAACTGCTAAGAATGTTAAATTAAGCTTGGCATAACTATCTTATGTCAACATATGTTAAACTATATCTGAGGAACTGCCTAAAGAATGTCAAGTTAAGAAAGATTTAACTGTTAAGAATGTCAACTTAGCTGGGTATATCTCAAAAACTATTCTAAGAATTTAAATTTAGGCAAGATATGACTGTAAAAAAACTGCCATAAGAATGTCAACTTAAGCTAGATTAACTATCTTAAAAATTTTAATTTAAGCTCAATATAACTGTCTTAAAAACTGACTTGGGAATGTAATTTCAAGCAAGATTTAACTGTCAAAAATGTCAAATTAAGATTGGCATAACTGTCTTAAGAATGTCAGCTTAAGATAGATATAACTGCCTTAAGAATGCCAACTTAAGCTAGAAATAACTGTCTTTAAAAACTACTTTAAGAATGTTAAGTAAAGCAAAATTTAACTGTTAAGAATGTTAATTTAAGCTTGGCACTAACTGTCTTAAGAATGTCCACTTAAACTAGGTATATCTCAGAAACTGCCTAAAGAATGTTAAATTAAACTAGATATGACTATTAAAAGAATGTCAAGTAAGCTAGATATAACTGTCTTAAAAACTGCCTTAAAAATGTAAAATTAAGCTAAATATAACTAGGTATCTTAAAAACTGATAAGAATGTCTTGTCAAGCATGATTTAACTGTTAAGAGTGTCAACTTAAGCTAGGTATATCAGAAACTGCCTTAAGAATTACAAGGCAAGCAATATTTTACTGTCAAGAATGTTAACTTAGCTAGGTTAATTCAGATACTGCTCTAAGAATTTTAATTTAAGCTAGATATGACTAAAAAAACTGCCATAAAAATGTCAAGCTAGATTAACTGTCTTAAAAATGTAAAATTAAGCTAAATACAACTGTCTTAAAAACTGACTTAAGAATGTAATGTCAAGCAAGATTTAAATGTTAAGAATGTAAACTTAAGCTAAGTATATTTCAGAAACTGCCTTAAGAATGTCAAGTCAAGCAAGATTTAACTGTTAAAAATGTCAACTTAAACTAGACCTATGTTTTAAGAATGTCAAGATAGATATAATTGCCCTAAAAACTGCATTAAAAAAGTTAATTTAATTTGGGTAAGTATATCTCAGAAACTACCTAAAGAATGTCATTTAACTTAAGCTGGATTAACTGTCTTAAAAATGTATAATTAAGCTAAATATAACTGTCTTAAAAACTGAATTAAGAATGTAATGTCAAGCAAGATTTAACTGCTAAGAATGTCAAATTAAGCTACACATAACTGACAGTTATACCTAGAATAATTACCAGATTCTGTCAAAAAAAATCTGGACATTTGGTGTGAATTAACCTTAATTACAAAAATGACACAATCAACAATAATTAAGTATCATCAAACTTACAATTTGTATTGTATCATTATGTCAATTTTGTAATTAAGATACCTATATTCATACAAAATGTCCCGATTTTTTTTGACAGAATATGGTAACCCTAATAGCTGTCTTAAAAACTGACATAAGAATGTAAATTTAAGCTACCTATGACGGTCTTAAAAACTGCCATAAGAATGTCAAATTAAGCTAGCTATAACTGTCTTAAAAACTGCCTTAAGAATGTTAACTTAACAGTGGTGGCTGGTGGATTTTGCGTAACCGATATTTTGGTTAAATTATAAATTGCACCACTAAAATTTGTGCAAACTTCTATTTAAATTCTGCTTGTGCAGAACTTGTTATTTTAGTGTCATTATAAACTCATATAAATTTGGTGTGGGTCCCGTGTCGAATAACTGAGATATGGCAAAATCCACCAGACGCCACTGTAACTTAATCTTAGCATAACTCTTAAGAATGTCAACTCGATACAATAAAAAGTAATTGTTTATAAAAACTCCTGCTTATTTAAAAAAAAATCCAATAAGGAAACATGAAAATCCTTCGAGATAGTACCAATTAAAAAAATGCCTTAAGAATGTCATGTCAAGCAAAATTTGGCCTTTAAGAATGTCATATTAACCTATAAGTGTCTTAAAAACTGCCTAAAGAATGCCAACTAGATAAAACTGTTTTGAAAGTGTCAACTGGCAGCCAACACAATTACTACAATCAAAATTACTGATATTTAACGAAAAAATCACACTGGTGCCTCATAAAACACATTTATTTGGCGTTCTTACCCACTGGGTCCATCTCGTTCATTCTGGATATCAATCTTCCCCATGGAATCCTGATATTATCGTCGGGAGGAGTCAACACCATGGAAGATGGGGGAGACTGCGTGGGCTGTAGATCGCACATTATCTGCAAAATTTTACGGCCACACAAAACTAAATACACCAAAAAAAACACGAATAATAAGCAACAAACTGACACAACAGATCACATGGCAGACATGTTAGTTGTCACGAAAGGCGGCAAAACAAACCTTGCCATTGGCTGGGGTGACGCGTCTCGCGCGTGCGCATTGCGAAATGAGTTTTTAGTTTTATGTTTTTTGCACAAAAAATGCTTTAATTATGCGAGAAAGTATTTAATTTTATAAACGGGGGAAGTAAAACCCAAAACAATCATAATTAAACAACAAAAATATAGGTTTAATATGTGTATGAAGTTTAAATTAATCAGATGTTCTTTGCAACAGGTGTGGCGGGAATTTCAAAACTAAACTATAAATTGTGTTTACGTTTTACTTCCCTTATTTATAAATTTATGCAACACTGTGACTTCTTTAATAATACAGATTTTTAACCAATTATTTCACATTGCGCCGATATCTAAACTTTACGAAAATCCCTTATCAAAAGCATTGCATAGCCCTTGTAAAAATCAATTATAATTTCGGTGTTATTGGTAATAGTAATTGTGCAAGTTGTTTTTTGTACGCAAAACCGATAAAATCCATATTTCCATAGTTGTTGCATCAAATTTAACATTTGAACTCTGTTATCTCAAAAGAAAAATCTCGCAGGGGGTTATCTCGATATCCTGCGATCTGATTGGCGGGCAACAAGTGTCCGTCTCTCTCATTGGACGGCGGCGTGTGTTTTCGCTTTTCGAATGTCGTCAAATTAACCACTTAATCGTAGGATTTCATAGTAATAAATCGTTTCAAGTAAATCTTTAGTGTTAATACGGCTTTTAAGTGTTGAAAATGTCGAAAAATGTGCTTGTTATTGGCAGCGGCGGCCGAGAACACGCCATTGCTTGGAAAATCTCGCAAAGCAGTCAAGTGAAGAAAATTTTCGCGGCACCCGGCAGTTTTGCCATTCAACAGGTGCACAAGGCGGAAAATGTCCAGTTGGACATCAAGAATTTTAAGGTGAGCACGCGAGTTTGAGGTTAAGGTCAAAATATTCAGGTGGTTGCCGTATACAGGGTGTTTCAGATGGAATTTAAAATATTGATTTTTAAAATGGACAGTTTAAAGTAAAAAAAAACATATTTACCAGTTTTGTTGATTTAAATTCACAGAATGTTAAAGTTTTTACAAAAAAAACAGACAAAGATGACAAAATTGAGGTTATGTATTTGTCAAACTCATGACATTGTTGTCAAATGTTCTTTAGGAACCTATATGTCAAAAAGTAGAACTAGTCATTTTATCCATGAGTTTTTAATAAACAATAACAGTGAAGAATGTTTTTTCTGAATTCAATTCAATTTTATTTGACATATGTCAACTGTCATCTGGGTTTAACCCCACTTTTTTGCAATCTGACAAACGGTTTTAACCTCACTTTTTTCCTACATATTAAATTTAAAGTAAAAAGCTCGGATTTGCCAATCTTGACAAAATTTAAGTTATGTAATGAACATGGTTGTCAGATGTTCTTTATGTGTCAAAAAAAATATTATTTTTAATTTTAACAATGTTTGCCATGTATTTAAATTGCTTAATTGAATTGATTTAATAATTTTCTTGAGTCCAAGGTTATAATTAGTGATGAAATTACTATTAATTTAAAATAATACCTAAAGTTAATTTTTTTTATCTGGACTGCGGCAACGTTGCAAACTTAGGTGTTTGGTTGGTAAATACAGAACCAAAATTGGTTGCAGCTGCCTATACCTAGGTATAGGCTTCTGTCTTAAGAATATTGAGCTACATAAGTAAGACTTAGTCCCTTTTAGGAGGTAGCGAATTTCTGCAAATCCCAAAACGTCTCCTTGGTGATAATAGGTCCAGAAGACCCTCTGGCAAACGGTATCGCAGACGTGTTAACCTCGGAAGGCATTCCCACCTTTGGACCTCAAAAAAATGCCGCTCAAATCGAGTCGAACAAAAATTGGGCCAAGGCATTTTTCGATAGGCACCGAATCCCCACAGCTAGGTGGAAATCCTTCGAAAACGCCAAGGAAGCAAAGGATTTCATCAACAAGTGAGTGATTGTTTTCACTTTGGCGTGGTCTCAATTTTTTTTTCAGCGCTCCCTGGGATGCCCTTGTAGTCAAAGCGAGCGGTTTGGCAGCTGGTAAGGGCGTTGTGGTAGCTGCAAGCAAAAAAGAAGCTTGCGATGGCGTCGACGAAATTTTGACCGGGAAAAAGTTTGGGTCAGCCGGAGAAACCGTGGTGATTGAGGAGTTGCTGAAAGGCGAGGAAGTATCGGTTTTGGCGTTCTGCGACGGCAACACCGTAAAGGCGATGTTGCCGGCTCAGGATCACAAGAGGATTTTCGATGGTGATCAGGGTCCCAATACTGGGGGGATGGGGGCTTACTGTCCGTGCCCACTGTTGAATGATGAGGGTTTGAAGTTCGTGGAGAAGGAAATATTGCAGAGGACTTTGGATGGGTTCAACAAGGAAGGCATCAAGTTTGTTGGAGTGTTATATGCGGGACTTATGCTGACAAAAGAAGGCCCTAAAGTGTTGGAGTATAACGCTAGATTCGGGGATCCAGAAACAGAAGTTATTCTTCCTTTATTGAGGTCGGATTTGTACACCATCATGTCGTCTTGCTGTAATGGGACTTTGAAGAATCAAGAACTTCAGTGGATGGAAAATACCAACGCTGTGGGTGTCGTGATGGCTTCCAGGGGGTACCCAGAAACGTCCAGCAAGGGTCAGGTTATTACCGGTATTGATACTGTGAGCCACAGGCCTAACCACGTCGTTTTCCACTGTGGGACAGCCATGAAAGGCGAGCATTTGGTCACCAATGGTGGAAGAGTGTTGATAGCCGTCAATTTGGCGCCGCAGCTGGCCCTAGCTGCAGCCAACGCTACTTTAGCTTGCCAAACTATCAAGTTTGATGGTTCTCAGCACAGAAACGATATTGCTCATAAAGGGATAGCAAGGTAAATATTTAATTGCGAATAAAACTCAAAATACAATACAATTTATTCAAGTGCCATTCTAAAATCCGGTAAGCTCACTTACAAGCAAAGCGGGGTCGATATTACCGCCGGTAACGACCTGGTAAGCCACATAAAACCGTGCGCCAAGTCCACGAACAGACCCGGCGTGATGGGCGGTTTGGGGGGGTTCGGGGGTCTCTTTGACCCCAAAGCGGCGGGCTACAAGGACCCCCTGCTGGTATCGGGAACCGATGGTGTCGGGACCAAGTTGAAGGTACGCAAGTCTACCAACTTGGCCCCTTCATTCACAATTTGGTTGATTTTAGATTGCCCAAGAGATGGGTATGCATGACACGATCGGTATCGATTTGGTGGCGATGTGCGTCAATGACGTATTAGCTCACGGTGCGGAACCTTTATTTTTCCTCGATTACTTTGCTTGCGGAGCATTGGATGTTAAAGTCGCAAAGGAAGTTGTAACAGGAGTCGCTGAAGGTTGCAGACAGGCTGGATGCTCACTTGTAGGTAAAGAAGAAACTATAATATATATATATATATATATATATATATATATATATATATATATATATATTCCAGAACTCGCGCTACAGAGAAAAAAATACTAGAAAATTAAAATCCTGTCATTATTTATAATTTCATGTTTTCCTCCTTTGATGCAAATATTAGGAAGAGCAGTTTTAGGACAGTTTTATGACAATTAGGACATATTGTTTGTTGAACAGCGACTTCTAAGACAGTTTAAAGATATCTTGTAGTTAGATTTTAAGGCAGTTATATGGTTATACACAGGATTAAGACAGTCGTTGTGGAGTTATATGACATTATACAGTTCTATGTGAGTTTAGTACATTTTAAATGGCAGTTTCAAAAATGTTATGGATACATACTTTTAAAACTGTTTTAAAAAAATTTAAGAATGGTTACAAGACAGTTTTATAATATTTTAACAGTTCTAAGAAAGTTAGATAATTCTAAGGCAGTGATAGGACATTTTTTAACAGTTCTAAAATAAATTTTAGGCGTCAGAATTATAAAAAAGTTATTTTAAACAGTTCTTAGAGAGTTAAAGGACATTTCCAACAGTCCTAAGATAGTTTTAAAATATGTAAGCCATTCTTACGACTTCTAAGGCAGTTCAGACATTTTATAGTTAGATTTTAAGACATTTAGATAAATCTAAGGCAGATTTAAGGCAGTTATATTGATATACACAGGATTAGGACATTTTTAGACAGTTGTTGAGGAGTTATATGACATTATACAGTTCTGTGGGAGTTTAGTACATTTTAAATGGCAGTTCCAAGAAAGTTATAGATCATACTAGAGTGGAATTCTGTAGTGGTTGCTAGGGATTTTGGCTCTGGGGTACAAAACTAGTTTAATTTTCACTTTAAAACATTGGCATCTTGAAGTATGACGTTCCTTTTTCTCTGTGGCGCTAGTTCTGGGACAGACTTTGTAATGATCTTTCTTAAGGTGGCGAAACTGCGGAAATGCCCGATATGTACCCACCAGGCGACTACGATGTTGCCGGTTTTTCTGTAGGAGCAGTTGAAAGGGAGCAATTGATGCCTCACATTGAAAAGATACGACCTGGCGACGTTATAATCGCTTTACCATCGAGCGGGGTGCATAGCAACGGTTTCAGTCTCGTCAGGAGGGTAATGAAACTTTCCGGCCTCACCTACAGAGATGTAGCGCCTTTCAGTAAATCAGGAAGGATGATTGGGGAGGAGTTGCTCACCCCTACCAAGATCTACGTTAAAGCCGTCATACCGGCGGTTAAAACCGGTAAGGTGAAGGCGTTCGCGCACATCACGGGCGGCGGTTTGCTGGAGAACATACCCAGGGTGCTGCCGGACAGTTTGGCCGTCGATATAGACGCCACCAAGTGGCCGATCCCCGAAGTTTTCTCGTGGCTGGCGACTGCAGGCGGGGTAAACCAAACGGAGATGCTCAGAACCTTCAACTGCGGTCTAGGAGGCATTCTAGTCCTTCAAAAGGAACACCAAGACGAAATTATGAAGCTTGTGGCACCCCATGGCGGTTCAGTTATAGGCAGCATAGTCAAAAACAACGGCGAACAAGTCATCGTAAGGAACTTCACTGAAGTTATGGAGGTTTCCATGCGAAAGTACGTCCCACATGTAGTGTCTAAGTGCGCTGTGGCGAAAAAAAGAGTGGGGGTGTTGATTTCCGGCAGTGGTACCAACCTGCAAGCCCTGATAGACGCCACCCTGGACCCGTTAAGCCAAATGGGTTGCGAAATAGTTTTGGTCCTGTCGAACAAACCAAACGTGCAAGGTTTGGAGCGAGCCGAACGCGTTAATATACCAACAAAGGTAATAATAATAATGCAAACCATGATATTTTTTAAAATTTACATCTCAGGTCCTAAGTCATAAAGACTACAGCAGCAGAGAAGACTTCGACAAAGCTATGCATAACGAGCTCGTGGCTGCGGGTGTGGATATCGTTTGTTTGGCAGGTTTTATGCGGATTTTAAGCGGGGAGTTCACTAGGAAATGGAAGGGGAAGTTGATAAACGTTCACCCAGCGCTTCTCCCGCTTTTCAAGGGCACGCATGCGCAGAAGCAAGCTCTCGAAGCTGGCGTGAGAGTCAGCGGATGTAGCGTACATTTTGTTGAGGTAGTGTACTAAAAACAACCGTTTCACAAACGTATACTTAAAATATTTTTAGGAGGATGTAGATGCGGGGGCCATAATTACCCAAGAAACGGTCCCAATTGAAGTAAACGATACGGAAGATATTTTAATAGAGAGGATCAAAACAGCGGAACACAAAGCTTTCCCAAGAGCCTTAAAACTACTGGCTACAGAAAAAGTGAAACTCGGCGACAACAACAAAATAATTTGGTCTTAAATGTATATATTATTCCAATGAATATGAATTGTGTTTTTGTTTTTTTTTATTACATTATACTACGTATCAGGAAATTTGAATATTCAAATGTGTTAAAGCTGTACAACAGGTTCTGCATTTGTTGATATAAATAAATAAATTTTTAATCCGACATCGTTTTTCATTTCATCAACATGGCGACTTTAAGTAAAAATGATAACGCGATTTTAAATTGCGTTTTCAACCCCAACCTGCCTCTAGAAAACCTAAAAGAGGAGAAGTTAGAAGGTAAGTTAAGTGCTTTAGATTTAAACACTTAATTGAAAAAATTACCATATAAAATATTTGTTAGGATATACAGGGCGTTTCAATCAAAAACTCACCCCAGCAAACACATAAGTCTGATTATGGTTTGGTTTAAGAACTAAGAATAATTTAAAATAACCTTTATCCTACCAAAAAAAAGAATTTTAGGCTAATCTGGTTGCCTAATTTAATTTATAATGTTACGGTTGGTAGCAACCAGCGTTTCCAGATTCTGTCAAAAAATTGCCAAATTTTGTTTAAATTTAGCGTAATTACAAAAATGACGAAATCAAAAATGTAAACTGTTAATTTGGCGTTTTTATTAATTGTTTATGTCATTTTTGTAATGAAGGTAAATTCAAACAAAATCTGGCAACTTTTATGACAGAATCTGGTGCATTTCTTTCAAATTTTAGGTTATGTGCTCAAATTGTAAATACCTTAACTAAGGGAAGTGCTTTTGAATTTATTTACACAAATTGAATGTTTAAAGTTTAACCTGTGAACTTCATCTGAGTAAACAGAAAGAAAAAAACGATGAATAAATTAATTTTGTGGTATGGAGTTTTTAAAATGGGTACTAAATTTTCTAATCATTGCTTAAGCTAATAGCTGGATGAGTAAATAAATACAGAAGGGTATTAGAGCTTTAAAGGCAAAACACTTTTGTACAACTGGTAACACGCAGTTTGTTGTTTTGTTGCTTTTAACCGTCAGAAATTGTATTGTGATAATATTATAATATAAATATATACCTACCTACCAAATTTAATCATCATCATAATAGATACTTCACTTATCCATTAAAAATTATTTAAATAACCACTATATATAGAATCTTAAATTTATTAAAGAACCTTTACGGTTGTGTTTGCTGGGACACCACCGATATTTTCTGATATTAAGTACATATTATGTTTAGATGAAGAAGACTTGACCCCAGAAGAAAAATCTACCACTGAAATGGAGTTAGAGGCGATAATTTTGGCCGAAAAAGGCAAATTAAACGAAGGGTTAGAGCTGATAAACAAAGCCTTAACCATAGCCCCCAAAAGACCATCCTTATTCAACAACAGGGCAAATATTTACCAATATTTAAGGAGATTTGAAGGTAAATATTTAATGTAGGAGATTTCGGTTATTTGAAGTGTTATTGTAGATGCGTTTGGTGATCTAACTAAGGCCATAGACTTGTCGACGGAAAAGCACAAAAAAACTTTGTGTCAAGCTTATTGCCAAAGAGGAATATTGCATAAAAGAGCCGAAAGACCGGAACTGGCCAAGGAAGATTTTGAAGTTGCCGCCAAATTGGGGAGTCAGTTCGCCAAAAGCCAAGTAAGTGTTTACTATAGTACCTACAGCGCAAAATATAAAAAGGCTTCTTGGGAACTTTTTTATATTTTAAGCTGAAGAATTGCCCCTTATGTTGAATGGAATTCGGAGAGAAATGTATTAAAATGATGACATGATTTGGTTCCATAATAATTTATTTTTTAACAGTCATAGATATCAATTAAACAACTAGTTGAAACAGATGAAATACCTGGACTCTTTTTATTTATTTATTACATGGTTATTGTCGATTTTCTAATTTTTTTCAAACAATTATGGGGTGATTATTTACAATTATTTGCCCAGGAACTTCATTTGATGAATAAAGCTCATTTTGCAAAATTTTAGCTGGTGGAAATGAACCCTTATGCTGCTCTATGCAACCAAATGTTAAAACAAGTGATGGAAACAATGAAATAAAATGAAAATAATAAAAAAACCGCTGTTACATCAATATAATATATTATTAGCACCAGTAAAATAATAATATACAAATAATGTATGTATAAATAAATTCACCTAACCTACAAAGAAAAACTGAAAATAAATAACAACTAAAAATAAATGCATAGAATATATTATTTATTCCTTTGTAAATTTACAAAATTTTGGGTATACTCTAAAAATGCACTTTAAAAACCAAGATAAAAAATAAAAAAATAAGATTTGGTAACTAGGGGAGAAAAAGTAAAAGAGCTTCTAAAAACGGAGAGATTAACTATACCGGTTATGTGCAGGATAAAATTTGGTGTTAAGAGATAAGTTCCACCTCTTCGACCATTTCGAAATCTTTTCCGGTGCTGGATCGTTGACTGGACTCGCTTTCGCTTTCTGACACCTGCGCAACATTTTCTGCACCGCTAGCCGCTTCGGGTAGCCTAAAACAACGATTTTGCTACACTGTTGCCCGTCTAAAAAGTCATATAACTGTCTTTTTATTTTTCGACACATACGCTAAAGAAGTATCGCGCGCGCCATCTGGTGAATTTAAGAATTGTCAACAATACATTTAAATAATAATAATAATAATAATAAATGTTTATTCACTGCAATTAAAATTACATGAAAAGTCAGTAGGTAGCACAGATTATGGGCAAATTTTCGTTAAATGCTGTCCCCAGCTAATATTATTTTTATTTTTGACCTTTGTTGATAAGTTTTGTATTTATTATATTTAAATGCCCCCTTCCTGTTAGGACCCATTGTATTTTGTTTTTAATTACTTTGTGTTTCTATATATGGCAGAAATACTAGCTGAAATGTCCCGTTACCTAACTGTCCCCAGAGGCGATTTTTAATTTAAATTATTATATTCTTCTTTGCAGCTTTCTTCTGAAAAAATAAATGATTTTTGAACAATGGAAAGTTCTTTTATTCGTATATAAAATTAAAATAGTTTTCTACAAAGTAGTTTAAACAGAAAAAAATATTAAAGTTGACGACTGCTTCGAAATAGAGACACGAGATAGAGATACTAACGTTTTATTTCTAGAGGGCATCCAGTTTGATAGTTCGGCAACAACACGTGTAAAGTGTGTAAATTTTTTTGTAAACATTTTAAAGGTAAGATGTTTTTGCGTACACTGTTTGGTGTCTTTTACAAAACGTTAACGTTAACTTTTTTATTTTCATTTTGTATCATAGCATAGTAGAAATTCTAAACAAATGCCGAAAGATATTTACATTTAACAGTATTTCTGAAAAAGTCAAAAGCAATGTGTCATAAAACGTTCAGGAAGATGCGTTAGGAGGAGAACAATGTTTAATTTCTTCCTTGTGTTCCTTCCCTATTTCAGATTAACCCTATAAGTTTTATTTATTTATAGTTTATTTTTGTTATTTATAAACTTGTAGAATTTTTTTGCAGTATATTACACTGTTTTATCACAAAGGAAAAAATTGACCTGCCTGGACAAAATATATATACAAAATGTACATTTAACGAAAATTCGCCCTTATACATCATTTTTAAATAAATAGGTAGTTTTTACAAAAGAGAGGAATTCTTACTCGACAAGTTTTGTTCAATTGCACAGCTAAATCGCGCACGTTAGTTGTGTTTTACGTTGCAAGGAAAAAATTAAAAAACTTTTTTAGTACTCGATTTCGATTGATTATTCCTTATATCATTGATTAAGAAACTCAACGCTTAAATGCTTATATAGTTACGTTAGTGTGTGTATTTTATCTAAGGGATCATGGTGAATTATTGTGCTTTTAATTATAAGTATAATTCAAGAACTAAATCGTTGCATTTTCATGTTTTGCCAAAGGATCCAATTCGGTAAGTACTTTGTTGGTGCAGAATTGACTAATAATAACTTTACCTAATATAATTTATAATTAAGTTTGGACATTTTTAAGAAATTAGTATTTTTTAACATTTTCCGGCTTTATTCTCAAAAACACTTGTTTGTAACTTTTGTTACGAATGGTGGCGCTACCAGCGATACTTCTTTACAGTATAATAATAATTTCAGTTTTTTGACGGCTCAGATTCCAAAAAAATATTTTTTGCTGACTTCAAAGAAGACACACGTTTGGTTCAATTAAAATCCTCACCTTTCCTCCGCCGAAACGGTTTCTTCGCCGCCATCTTGGACGCTCTTCGAGGTCTTCTCCGTCGTGTTCTCTTCCTCGGCATCGGAGTCTTTGTCCTTCTTCTTCTTCCTGCCCTTCTTGGGGGGCACGTACCCCTCGCCGCGGTACTCGTAGGTGTAGAGCGGCCAGAACGAGGCGAAAAAGCCGACGTCTTCGGTGAGGTTGGGAAGGATCCAGATGTGGTGCTTTCCGGCCGTCAGCACCCACACCAGGCAGAAGAAAATCAGACGGAGCACCGCCAGGACGATGATGGAGACGAGGAAACCCGCCGCGGCCACCGAAAGATAGTACACCAGGATTCTTAAAGAAGAAAAATACATTTTCGATGTGCAAAAGTCATTTTTAAGCAACTTTTTTTTTTCAACTAAAAAACAGGCTAAAAACTTTCAGGAAGGTGAAAAAAGAAACCTCTAAAAATTTGAGCTCTTAATATTAACATTAAGTGGTGCCTGTTCCTAACTTTCCATTTTCCATTTAAATAACATGGACTTTTTTTTTTCTTATTTTTGTAGCTTGACATTGGAGCATTGTAAAACGAACTGAAAAATTATTTTGGTAGGAAATTGAACGCTCTACAAAAAAGTTTCAATATATTTTTTCATAGAGTGAGCCGTTCTGAAGGTATTCAAACTTAAAGTTGCCTTTAACATTTCGAATCGCGGCACGTTAGCGTGCCTCTAGTCACTGTGTAATCCGAACGGTAATATACCGACTGAGCCGATATAATCTTTTATCAGAGTTATCGACTTTAAAATTATAAAAAAAAGAAAGATTAAAAATTCAATACAATAAAAAATTCATTGTTTTATTTAATCTATTATAATTATTGAACAAATTTATTGAACACAAATAACTTTTTTTGATAGTAAATAAAATAAAATGGAAAAAAAAATTGTGATGTGTTATTTTCTTTCTATACGAAAATAATTATTTTTTCTTAAAATAATTTTTAAGACATAAAAAAGTATTAGTTTAATAAAATAAAAGTCATAATTTCATACATTTGCAAGTTTGAATACCTTCAGAACGGCTTACTCTATGAATAAATAAATTAGTACTTTTTTGTAGAGCGTTCAATTTCCTACCAAAATAATTTTTCAGTTCGTTTTTACAATGCTTAAATGTCAAGATACAAAAATAAGAAACAAGAAACAATTTTTTTTCCATGTTATTTAAATGGAAAATGGAAAGTTAGGAACATGCACCACTTAATGTTATTATTAGAAGCTTCTTTTTTCACCTTCCTGAAAGTTTTTAGCCTGTTTTTTAGTTGAAAAAAAGAAGTTGCTCAAAAATGACACACCCTAGTGTAGATGTAACGCAGAGGGGAGCACATTCGCATGCTCGTGGCGTAAGAAGTTGGTGGCTGAGCCCATGGTACAAGAAAACAAGGTACAAGTGAAAACAATGCCAAAAGAAAAAAACTGTAAATCCAATACATTTTCTTATGTATGGGCTTGAAAGAATTGATGTAAGAATAGTAAGTAAATTTAAATAACATTAACTTAACAGCTATCAAAGGAGAAATCAAGTTCTTTGAAATAAATAAAACATTTAAGCTAAAAACATGATTTAATTAATTTTTTCTTAGCATTTTTTTCATTTATTTTATTTGGTTTACGCTAAAGAAGTATCGGGTTTTCCAACTTCGAATAAATTGCAACAACTCAACAAATCGAGCCACGGTTTTTTTCGATGTTTTTTAACATTTTTCGGCTTTATTCCCAAAAACACTCGTTCGTAACATAAGCGTTTGACAGCTGATTATTAAAAGTTATACTTTTGTTACGATGATAACAGCCGAGTGGTGGCGCTACTAGCGATACTTCTTTAGCGTATTTCATTTAAAACATTTACGATTACAAAACATAACCTTGTTTTCTTGTACCATGGCTGAGCCTAAGTTAGAGAGAGATGGGGAAAAATCATTTTTCACGACCTACTTGACATGGGGATCAAATAAAAGGGTTCGAAAACCTCTTACCTGACAGATTGCGGCCATAGAGGAAACAAGCAAAGACCTACGCAACCCAACAACGAAAAAGCACCTATAACCCAATAGTACAGCGGTATGGGGTCGTAGATCCAAACGTAAGCGTCCAACGAATCTACGAATCTCTGATCGTTGTGCATCTCCAAACGAATCTTCTTCTTCTTCTTCTCTTTCGACACCTAAAACCACCGCAATGCATTTAAACCGAATTGTACGAATAAAATCCCACCTCTTTGTCTTGTTTCGATTCGACGACGCTGCTTTCCGCGTCGGTCCCCTTCCCATCTCTATTTTTGTCGTCTTCGGAGTCTTTCGCCTCCTTTTTGTCCTTCCTTTTCGCTTTGAGTTCGGCGTCGGAAATGGGCACCTTACGAGCGCGGTGGTAAAACTTGTGGCTCAACATCAAGTCCATGAAGTTGACGATCTGGTCTCTGGACTTGAAGAGTCCATCTTCTTCATTGTAGAATTTGGACTCCACCAAGGCGTCCACCGCCCTCTTACCTAAGTTTAAGTTATTATAACGCGAACAATTCTTCCCCGATTTTAACAAAATTTTCATTAATTTAGTTGGACCAAGAGAAATCTTGTCTTTTTAGAAAATGTTGTATATGTCCCCTAACGGTGTTACCCCGTGATATTTAATAAAACTAAATGAGTTGGACCTACACTTTTATTGTGTTTTGATCTTTCATAATTAAGTAGATATCACAGCTCAGGTTCCAGATTTTTAACCGCAATTAATTATTTTTTACAATGTTTTAAAAGTATAAAACCTATCCTCCGTGACTGTTACTCTTTCTAGGTTAACCTATATGTTTTCAAATATCTGAGTTAGTAAAAGCATACTAAAAATATCAGTTCACTGAGTAAATTAAACACATCCAAAGCAATCGAATCAAATATAAAATATTATTAAAAATTAAAAGAAATAATTTTTATAACCATTTATGTAGGGGTTACAAAAATTGATTCTATCCTCCGTGAATCTGTTTTTGCTTTAAATTTTATGCAACGGATGGCGCTTTAATCATTTTAAATAAGCAAAAACCTCTGTTTACAGCATTATAGATGCATGTGATTCCTGAAGGTCAGTTAGAATTTATATGCAGATGAGAGTGTTGCTGTTTTATAATTCAAAAGTTTAGGTTCATTAATTTGCTATTTAAAAACCTATCCACCGCGAAGTGTAATATCTCAGTAAGTAGATTTTTTATAAATATTTTATGTATGTACAATGGTATTTTTAAAAAATATTAGGGTGTCAAAAGATACAATAACTTATTTCAAATATACAAAGGGATGTTTTAGAAAAACTTACGAAATCCTAACCTCCGTGAAGCTATCTTCCGTGAAGCTCTAACATTCAAAATGTATGATTTCTTAAAGTTCTTGCATTAGTGCAGAACCACCTATGTTATGTTATTATTCTAGACTAACTGTGAAACAACCAAAAATAAAAAATAATCATTTTCAGTTGGGGGACATCTGAATATATTCACCCATATGTGTTTTTATTTTAAATAATAATAGTTGAAAATATATTAAATTTATAAATGTAAACATAAAATTTTAAGTTAAGAAACTTTTAAACCAATACAATTATTCGCAACCTACTATTTTTAAATAAGAAAAAAACGTTAAATCCTATCTTTATTATTATCAGGCTTCCAACCTCAAAAATGAAAAAATATAAAGTTGTCTACTAACTAATTTGAATAATTATCGAAATTTCATGCATAAAAACATTTGTTACCTGTAAAATAAATAACATTGTGGGACAAAAATTTGGTTTTCTTGATGGGAACATTTTTTTTCAGCCAGTTTGCCACATTGATCTCATCCTTAGACGGTTTTTCGACAACATCATCCTTTGACATGTAATCCTACAAATCATCAACAAATAAATTTTTCTACTTATGTATAATAATAACACCATAAATCATTATTATCAAGGTTACCAGGTTTTAGTGAAATTTCACTGGATCTAGTGAATTTTGGACCAATCTAGAGAATTTTTTTCGAAAATAAAAAACCGTCAAAAGTACACTAGAAAATACAAAAATTAAAAATAAGTCCGTTTTATTTGATCTAGCAATCTTTTTTACAAATTATGATTATTAAAAACGTCAATTAGCATAATAAATAATACTTTTTTACCATTTATATTAGGAACATTTATCAATAGTTTTTATACTTAATAGGTAATATATTAAAATGGGTAGTTGCTTATTGTCCATAAAGAAGCACCTGAAACTTTTTTTTCTTCTAAATTCTAGACTAAAAATAATTTATAATAACCTTTATCTTACCAAAAAGTACGCCACTGATCGACTAGGAACTTTAGGCTAATCTGGTTGCCTAATTTAATTTATTATGTTATGGTTGGTAACACCAGCGTTTCCAAATTTTGTTTAAATTTAGCTTAATTACAAAAATGACAAAATCAATAATTCAAATTGTTAATTTGGCGTTTTTATTAATTGTTTATTTTGTCATCTTTGTAATGAAGGAAAATTCAAACAATTGAGTTTTTATTTATTTTTTGCAAGAAAACACCTTATGTCAAAAGGTATTCAGTATTTTAATAAATTACATTAATTACATTATTATTGCGTTAAAAATTTAGGTTTTGTTGACATTTGGTACTATCTACCAACTCAAATTATAATTCGACAATTATTTTCAAAATTTATATTCCTTCTTTAATATGATAGTACCTATAGTTTGATAAATAAATACACATTAGAGTATCATTAAAAACTAAAAGCAACATAAAAACAATACAATTTTTGTGTTTCTTAAGTTGGCAGCACAAAATTTAAAATGACCTAAAAATTATTTTTTGAGGTTTCTATAAAAAAATAAACTATAATAATCAATTTTTAAAAGATTATAATATGGACTATTTCCCTCGTCTTAATTTCCACCAATCACAAACACGCAATTTTGAATTACAAATGGTTTCTAGGTGAAAAAACTGTGTGACAGCACCTGTCAGCAGTTTATTCGAGTTTACCCGCGGCAAAACTTGACAGCTGCTGTCACCAAAAATTGCAATTGATATTTTAATTGTTAACTGTTACTCATGAAATAGTCTTGTCAAATACCATTCGGGCATCTAATTTTTCCTGTGAAAAAAATAGAAAAAACACAATGCTAAGTAATACTTTTTAACAAAATGCATTCGTGCAGGTGCAAAAATCCTCCTCTTCGACTCGGATTTTTGTTGCCACCAGCACTCATGCTTTTTGTTAAAATATTACTTAGCAACGTGTTTTTTCGATTCTTTTCGGAAAAATTAAATGATATTACTTACGAAAATAACACTTTCAAGAAGCAAATGTTATTTTTGAAAACGACTCGCGCACGAAACAAAATAGCATCGCCGCACGTTGTGCCAACAACCAAAACAAAAACAGAACGTTCTGCTGTCAAGTTCAATGCTTTGTAATTTGGTGTGAAATCCAAATTTAAACGACGCAAAAAGGTAAAAACCGACGTGTTTTTCATCGCGATCAGATTTCGATGTAAACGTTTGTCGTTGTTGACGACTTTCAGACCGTGTAACACATTTTCCTAATAACCCGTTATTTTCGATGACATTGATTGTGACGTATTAACAATATGATAAGAATGTTGTTTTATGCTACACACTACATTTCACTAATCTACAAGACAATTTTTTGAGCTATAAAAAAGCACAACACACACATTTTGGTAATTTTTGTAAAAACATATTTTCAGCCAAGTTGCCGTACAAAAGTTAATATACTATAAGTGTACATTGGAAATTATGTGTGGCATTAAAAAAAGCATGCAAAAATAATAAATTAATTAATAATTAAAGCTATAAAGTATTGTTAACTCACATCTTTACGTTTCTTGCCTTTTCGCTTCTCCGCCATTTTGACAATAATGAAAACAACGTTGCCGCAACCTCACGTATCAAATTTTAATTACCGTCAAAATCATGCGCACAACTTCTTCTCGCTACTCATCCAAATAATATACCTGCAAAAACCAATAACAAGCCCACCATTCGCCACAATTATAACATACATTTAAATAAATATTTATTTAAATCAATATTATAAAAACAATTTCAACAATTCATACAACAAATTGTAAACTTGGCAACGTCAAATGTGAAACGTCAGCGATTCCCAAACTAAGGTTATCAAAACCCGCTAATTTCTCGTTAAATATGCATAAATTACTGCCACGGGACTTAAATTAGTTTGCGCAACACACTAATAGATAACTTTCTAATGTAAAAGTACCCCGAGCGCATTTATCAGCATGGTTTTGCGCGTTTATTGGGAAACGCTGCGTTGACCGAAATACATTCTTTTGTTTTGAAACGGGACTTTTTGACATGACAACATAACCCAACTTGTTCGATGTTTTGACGTTTATAGATAGGATGTAAATAAAGCAGTTTTACTTCGTTTCTTCAGGTGCAATAAAAAACAATGCAACTATGGCTGTTTATATTATTTTTAGAAGGATGACTTTATACAATTACCGACAATACAGTACAAAATTCGCCAAAGAGATCGAGTATAAGGTAAATAAGTTTTGAGTTTTAAGGCGATTTTTTTTATGGAAGTGTTGCAGAAATGCTGTAAAATATTAGGAATTAAGGAAGATTGTGATCAAGAGGAAATCAGGACTGCCTATTTGAGGCTTGTTAAAATTTATCACCCCGATAGTGGAAACAAAGAGGCCAATGCTGACAAATTCCATGAAGTATGTTCTGGTTTTTTTTCTATAAAATAATACGATTTTAAGTTTTATTTTAGATAGATGAGGCATTTAAAACTTTAATAAACAAAAAGGCTGAGGAGAGATGGGATGTGGAAGATGTGACGGAACAAGATATAAAGGTAAACATAACCAACAATTTTATTGGGTACTTGAAACTTTTTCCCTAGCATACGGCTCCGCAACATAGACAGTACTTAAGCTTTGATGGGGTGGGTTCAGGGACACCTTTTCAGAGACAAAAACAATACGGGAAAATAAGGGCAATGCAGGCAGCTGAGAATGTGTACCAACATAGGGTGGCCAAAGTTACTGCTGATGATAAGGCGTTAATGGATAAGGCCCCTGTAAAGCACAAAATAAAGACAAAGTAGTTTTTTTTCTATGTAAGAGATAAAAAAAATGTCAGTTTTTTGCAGATATGGCTTTGATAGATTGGTTGAAGATCTAATACAAGAATCTATTTCAAAAGGGGAGTTTACCAAGTTATCTGGGGTTGGTAAGCCTTTACCAAACAGTCACAATCGGAATCCCTATGTAGATTTTATCACTCACAAGTTAAATGAGGTAATGTACTCAATTATAATAATAATTATCTTTTAGTTTTATGCCCTTAAAGCTCTAATACCCTTCTGTATTTATTTACTCATCCAGCTATTAGCTTAAGCAATGATTAGAAAATTTAGTACCCATTTTAAAAACTCCATAACTACAAAATTAATTTTTTCATCGGTTTTTTTCTTTAAACATTCAATTTGTGTAAATAAATCCAAAAGCACTTCCCTTAGTTAAAATATTTACAATTTGAGCACATAACCTAAAATTTGAAAGAAATGCACTGGATTCTGTCATAAATTTTGTTTGAATTTACCTTCATTACAAAAATGACATAATCAACAATGAATAAAAGCGCCAAATTAAAAATTTGCATTGTCGATTTTTTCATTTTTGCAATTAGAAAGAAATTTAAACAAAATTTGGCAACTTTTTTGACATAATCTGAAAACGCTGGTTGTTACCAACCATAACATAATAAATTAAATTAGGCAACCAGATTAGCCTAAAGTTTCTAGTCGATCAGTGGCGTACTTTTCGGTAGTATAAAGGTATTTTAAATTATTTTTAGAAATTAGAAAAAAAAAGTTTCAGGTGCTTCTTTATGGACCCTAAGGAACTACCCATTTTAATATATTACATTAATTGTATTGCCATGAATTCCTAGGCATATTTTCTCGTTTAAAATTTAGTTTTCGGCGTTTTTTTTGGAGGACTCAAATATAAAAATAATGATTTTAAGGTTAAGTTTGATAATCAGCTGTCAAACGCGTGTGTTATGCCTCTTTCACAATAGTGTTGATGTTAATGTTAATGTTAATGTTAATACCCAAAGCATAAAAAAATACGTGTATCTGTTCACAATAATGGTAATACCATAATACCAAACAAGGTGCTAAATAGGAAGTCTATTCTAAAAGGAAATAAAAGAACTGATCTTTAAAAAAGAAAAAGTTCCAACCTGACAAAAACTACCTAAGTTCCATCTACATCCTAAATAAGATTTGACCCGACGAAAACAATCTAAAAAAAATAGACAAGAGTGAGGGCCCTCCTCCTTTATCCGGGCTTGGGACCGGCAGGTTAAAAATACCTGGCGGAGTTACCCTCCACCCTCCTCATCATATTATATACCTAAAATCTCCTAAAACAGATAAAGTATTTAATTAAACAAAAACACGAAAAAAACAAATATACTGGTTGTATACATACTCGCATATAAGATTCACTCGCACCCTGAAGTTCCAAGAAGTCCAAGATGTCCATGTCAGGTCCAAATGAAGGAAAGGGTAATAGGAAGGGTAGAAAAGGAAAACGACAGATAATAAAATTACAAATAGATTAGCGCCGGTGCGCAACAACATGCTCCACGTTAAAAACGGGTTAGCACGGATTACCGATGTTCCGAGACAAAATCCAAAAAGTTTTTTCAAGATCCATCTACCATTTTAATTTAATTAAACAATCTGAAGATTGTGAAATTGAACTAAAATGGGTCTAAATGGAAGGAATAAAAAGGAGGGTTATATAGGAAACTCCTGGGCGCCTGGTTCCATAGGATAATCACTATCTAAAACAGACTACAACAACAAAAAGAATTTAAAAAATATGTTCACCTACCCAAAAGCGAACAAATAAAGAATTAGGTTCATCTCCAACTTGAAATTTGACCTGGCGAAAAGAATTAAAAAAAATTTTGACCTATGATCCCTACAAAAACGAAATAAAAGAACTGATCTTTAAATAAGTTCCATATCCAACTTAAAGAATCTAATAATCATTTGACTTACGACCCCTAACAAAAACGAACTAAAAGAACTGATCTTTAAATAAAGAATTAGTTCCATATTTGCCCTAACAAAAAGAATCTAAACAAAATATTTATCTAGAATCCCTACAAAAACAAACTATAACAACTAATCTTTAAAAAAAATAAGTTTCATATCCAACTTAAAAAAACTAATGACAATTTGACTTACGACCCCTAACAAAAACAAACTAAAAGAACTTTAAATAAAGAATTAGTTTTAACTCCAACTTAAACAAGATTTGCCCTAACAAAAAGAACCTAAAAAAGTTTTGATTTACGACCCCTAACAAAAAAAATAACTGATCTTTAAAAAATAATAAGTTCCATATCCAACTTAAAAAAACTAATGGCAATTTGACTTCCGACCCCTAACAAAAACAAACTAAAAGAACTTATCTTCAAATAAAGAATTAGTTCCATCTCAAACTTAAACAAGATTTGCGGCGACAAAAAGAATCTAAAAAAATTTTGATTTACGACCCCTAAGAAAATTAAGAACTGATCTTTTAAAAAGAATATGTTCCATATTTAACTTAAAAAAAACTAATGACAATTTGACTTACGACCCTAACAAAAACGAACCAAAAGAACTTAACTTTAAATAAAGAATTAGTTCCATATCCAACTTAAACAAGATTTGCGCTGACAGAAAGAATCTAAAAAAAAATTGATTTACGACCCTTAAGAAAAAAAACTGATCTTTAAAAAAGAATAAGTTCCATATCTATCTTAAAGAAACTAATGAAAATTTGACTAACGACCCCTAACAAAAACGAACTAAAAGAACTTACCTTTAAAAAAAGAATTAGTTTCATCTCGAACTTAAACAAGATTTGCCCTAACAAAAGGAATCTAAAAAAGTTTTGATTTACGACCCCTGACAAAAAAAAAGAACTGATCTTTAAAAATATCCCAATAAACACAATTTGACCTAATAAAAAAATCTAAAATAAATTTTGAAGCACGATCTCTTCACAAAAAAGAACTAATCTTAAGTAAAGAATAAGTTTCATTTCCAACTTAAACAAGATTTGTCCTAACAAAAATAATCTAAAAAAGTTTTGACCTACGACCCCTAACAAAAAAAACTTATCTTTAAAAAAGAATAAGTTCCATATCCAACTTAAAGAAACTAATGAAAATTTGACTAACGACCCCTAACAAAAACGAACTAAAAGAACTTATCTTTAAATAAAGAATTAGTTCCATCTCCAACTTATAAGTTTATAAACAAGATTTGCCCTAACAAAAAGAATCTAACCAAGTTTTGATTTATGACCCCTAACAAAAAAAATAACTTATCTTTAAAAAAGAATAAGTTCCATATCCAACTTAAAAAAAACTAATGACAATTTGACTTACGACCCATATCAAAAACGAACTAAAAAAACTTATCTTTAAATAAAGAATTAGTTCCATCTCCAACTTTAACAAGATTTGCCCTAACAAAAAGAATCTAACCAAGTTTTGATTTACGACCCCTAACAAAAAAAATAACTGATCTTTAAAAAAGAATAAGTTCCATATCCAACTTAAAAAAAACTAATGACAATTTGACTTACGACCCCTATCATAAACGAAGTAAAAGAACTAATCTTTAAATAAGTTCCATCTCCAACTTTAAACAAGATTTGACCTGACAAAAAGAATCTAAAAAAGTTTTGACGTATACGTCACCTACAAAAACGATGTAAAGGAACTAATCTTTAAATAAAGAATAAGTTTCTTCTCCAACTTAACCAAAATTTGACCTAAACAAATATTAGAAATATTCCC